CTTTAGCGAGCGCCGCCCGGTTGTTGTCGACGTCTCCAGCGATGTGCTTTATCGCGTGCACTTTGCCAGAAATGTCGGCGATTACTTGAGAGGAGATATCGCGGACGGCGATGTCCTTGTCAGCGCCAGCGTTCTTCGATGCGAGTGTGTTTACTAGAGCGAGACCTGAGAAGATGTTGGGTCACGGATACAACAAGGAGCTGCGTGCCGATGCCACGGTTGGAGGTAGACTTTGGTAGAATATGACATGGTTGATAAGTGGATTCATATGACAGAAATGCGCTCGTCTCTATATACAAAGCTGCCAGTCCTCTGGTCGGTCATCGAAGATGCTTCATTACATTGGATTGCAATTTAAGCTCGAGGCGACAATCTATGAAACGAACACGGTATCCTTCATAATACGGCAAACGTTACACAAGGAAAAGGTCCCCGTTGCCCATCCAGGTCCAAGGTGCAGGACCTCCAAAATCCCAATCAAGGACGTGGAAATACTGCTGTAATACACGAATTCAGAAAAAGTCGTTCACTATTATGAGATCTCTACCTTCAATGAGCACAGCCAAGTTCCCGAAACACACAAGTCACCTCGAAACTGCGAAAACCACGCTATTGCTTCCGACGTTTTCAGTCAAAGCCGACGTGACCCGTATAGCGAGGTCCATCCCATCGTCAACCAGTGCGTCGAATATAAGCCTTTCGGCTTCACTGAAGACTCTATGTCGGACGAAAGTCGCAGCTTCCCGATATATGCTGTCCTTCAGATGGTGTGCCTGCACAGCAAAGTGGCATGTCCTAAGCCTTGCCAGTCCTGCCATATCATCCCCTTTCCAGCGCGCCTTGACCATGGAGCAAAACTGCCAACCGGCCCAAAAACACTGTAAGAAATATGGGTTACGATGGTTATAGCACTCGAATGTGAGAGACGAAAGGAGGGGTAGGAAAGTGACGGTTTTCGTCGGTATGACCTCGAGAATTTCATGATCGTCACTATTTGTTCCCGGTCGTTAACATCGGTCTGATCATCGACGTCCTTCTGCATGGACACATCCAGTTTGAAGAAGCGAGGCTATGTGTCTGCGGGACAGGAGCGTATGGTGCATTGCAGCGGCAAGTGAAGCACGAAGCAAGCGAGAGGTGGGTGAGAGCACTCAAAGCATTGGAACGAATGAGAAGTTGTTCAAATAAATACAGGGCATCGTAGTGACGCATGGCAGGGTGAAGATAAAGGGAAGCCTCCCGTAGACGAGGAAGCGTGAGAGCACCAATGACACGCACCGACATGGTATCGAGCTTGCGCACATTTGAGCAGGTGGTCGGGGTGTAGGGCAATTCGGCCTCGTCGTCTTCCAAGTACCAGTAAGGTACAGAGAGGGTCTCAAGAGATGTACACAGTCCAATCAAATGCATACATGCCCCGAGATCGTCCTCGTCGCCCTCGGCGTCCATACCAGAAAGGTCTAGCTCCGTAATCTGGTCCCACGGAAATTCGACGACCGGCGGGCTTCCACCAAGAGTCAATCTCGTAAGATGGGGACAATCTTTGAAAACTGATTGCTCCTTCGGCTCTATCTGAACACAATCAAGGCTCAGAGACTGAAGACGAGGAAGCCGATTATGAAGTGGCGCGTAGAGCATATTCAAACGCCCTTCATCATCTGATAGATGTAACACCTGCCACCGGTACGATTCTGCCAGGACGATGTCGAGGATACGCTTTAGGATAGAGGGATCAGAGCTGGATTTCTGACGATAGCCTGATTCTAGAGATACGTCTAGTAGACCCTGACGGGAACGCTGAATAATTGTCTCCAAGCGCTGCACATCTGCTTCATGCTGCGCCGCTGCGGAAAACGAATATCCATAGTCGACCAACACGAATGAAGGGATAAAGCGATGTTTCGCCATCTCTGGCAAACATGGCTGAGCTGCCATATGGACCCAGACGCGTCAAAAGCGTTGGAATCAGAGTCGCCGGAAGTGTGTATAGAAAGATTTCCGACAAGATTTCCAAGGGGAGCGTGCGATGCAAGGAAACGAGATTGCTGTACCGCTGCTGGACGTTTTTCAACCTCTCTCGCTCTTCCTCCATCGATATGATGACCTCCCGAAGGGATGCGAGTTTGGATTCGATGGATGATATGTCGTCGGAGACAGTGGGCAAAATGGTGTGTCGGACGTGCGAGATCTCCTCGTCCGTCGGTGGGAAATTCGTGGTACGGAGCCGCTCGAGCACGGAGCTCTGATATTCTTCTTCATGGTGAAGACTCCGTCTGGTAAAAGCACCACAACTGGCACATTGGGACGCAATCTGCTGCATCCCGGACGCAGACTGACTCGAACAGCAGGAAATTTGCGTACTACAGGAAATGGTAAGGACGTGTTTTTGAAGGCGTCAATACGCACCTAGATGACCTATGAGATGTCAAAGATTCTCGCACTGGTAGACGACCTTAGTGGCGCGTCGGAGAGCCCAATGACGCGGCTGAAGATGGTGGTTTGGAAGAAACCCGTTTATGATCGACCAATATGGTAATTGCCTCCTATGACCACCAATCGTCATCATACTCGCGTCGCTTGGGTTCGTATTGCGTTTCATTGGGCGCAGGCCTCTTGTGAGGTTCGTCAAAAGTTGCGGTGCTTTGGATACCTAAACTGACGCGTCGCCGCGTGTTTTAGCTGCCCCCCCCAAAGCCTCAGAATTTCCCGATACGCCTCGGCAATGCAGCCGATATTATCACAGGATTCAGCGCTTCATCCTGCGTCCTGACTTTGAATGCCCAGTAGAAGTAGCGCCGCATGTACAGATTAAGGTGACCCCCACTCCAACCTCGATTTTGGCCGTGGATGTGACGTGCTTCAGTTCAGTCCAGTGGGTACGGTCGCATTTCTTCCCCGTATTTCCCTTCTGCGACGCGCACAGGCTGCACGCCGAGGCCACGGACGAATGCTGCTCCAAGCAGTCGTCTCAACTCGGACAACCGTCCGTGTGGGGGACCTCACGCATTTCGGACGTTAAAAAGGATGCTATGGATCATAATCAATCGACTATCGACAAAACGTCTCGTACGCACCCCCTAGACGAACTCGCTTGCCCACGGAGACCAAGGGCACGGTGTTCCAGATTAAGCTGATGGAGTTGGACACTGGTATGACGAGGCTTGGACATCCCAACTCTGAGAATGGCAGCCGGTTGCGATGAATATGGAAGGTCGTTATCAACATCCTCCCCAAAGTTGGCGCGCCTAAACCACTGGCTCCCTAGACTAGTACATCTAGCGACCACGCCTAACAATTGGAGATTAGTATTTGAAGGCCAGTCTTCATCTACATGCTTCCCATATGTCTGTTGACAACATACATAGGCTCGTACGACGAAGGCTGCCTACACCTGTACATTGCAATCTCAACTCGAACAACTTGGACCTCCTGCTGGACAGGGGCTGCAATGAATACAGGATGAACGTCATTTCGAAAGTCGAGGCACGCCCCGACGCGTGATAATGACGAAGAGATTCAGGATGGCGACGTGTTTTATGTCAATGGCCCCGGTATATAAAGGACATGCGTGAGAAGATGTTATCACGTACGCTCTTCTTTTAACTCTACATTTTCGCGCGCTGCGTTCTGCCGGAAAGCGAAGAGCTTGATATGGTGTTCCAATTCGAACTGATGGACGACGCCAACCTCTCGAGTGGACCGGGCGCGGCGGAGAGGGATTTTGGAATACGTGCGCAGTCTCATCTATTCATTACCTCGCAGCCTCCGATGTTGATTTCCTCCACACGATGCACTTGCCTGACAATGCATTTCCTGGACTCGCGACCCTCAGATTCGTACAGTGTTCACAGCAAGCCGGTTTTCTTTTCGTTTATACAAGCGTTAATAAGATGATTCTTGATAACCGAGAACCACGACCACTCCCGACGCGCTCTCGCCATGCTCGAGGTTACGCAGAGAGGCACTTCATACGTCTACCAGGGTCAAGAACTGGATATGAATAACTTGGGGATTGGAAGAGAATACGGATGCATTATTGGAACGACTTTGTTCAGCGGTCTGTCAATGTGTTCATGATGATCTTACCGCCAACAGCGGAAGAGGTCGAGATACTTCCTCGCACTACCGGAGTGTTAAACGACGACTACGAATCTCGCCGCCAAGAGTGTTCCATCATTGGAGGAGCATCCCGTGCTCGTATGTCAACCTCCCTACCGCTGTGAAACACTAACACGTATGATTTGTAGATCTTCGAGCTCATCATCACGCACACGTATTGGCGTACGTGTAAGAGGACGAACGGCGAAGTTGAGATAGAGGAGTCCAAAGGGTGGCAAATTACGCCCTTGAGAAAGCGGGTCGCGTATGATTTGAAGCCGTGTGAGGGAAGATTGTATATTTCAGTTGGAGGTGGATGTAGATGTCGATGTACTCCCCCCATCGATTTGAAATCCACATTAAAGCTTGGAGCTACATCATCCTAGAAACGGTTCAAGGAGATTGGCTTTGTTGAATGTGGAAGTGGCTCTGGCATCGGGCATCCATTTCCTTTGAGACGCATAGTATCATGAAAAAGAACTTGGAGGGTCTTGACAGGACCAAGTTTACTGTTCAGTGTTGACTAACTTGTTACTTGACTTTGGACGTCTGTGGCGCAATTTACACTGACAAAGTGAAAAAGAGATGTCCTTTAAGCGCAGAAATCAACTGCATTAGGGGGGAATTGAACCCCCGGCGGGTCGAACCCACGGATACGAACCCACGGATGCGACTTGAATGGCAAGGCCCAGGTTACCACTACCCCATTAATGCATACCACAAGCCAAGTGCCTTTCATCAAATCTCAGCTGGGAGTGCTTGGATACAAGTCTTTTCCAAAATGACGAACTAGCAAGTAAAAGAATAAGAAACAAGATTAAAAGGAAGGATTGAAGATTCCGATCATCAAAGTGTGGCGCAATTCTCGGACTTTAAAGAAAAGAAATTTAGACCGGACCTAGCTGCCCCAGTGAGGCTCGAACTCACGACCTTCCGATTGAACGACATTTGACGCATATACATAACAGTCGGACGCTGTAACCAACTCAGCCATGGGGCATGGAAAGGATAGTTGTTGTGTCGGGAGGTATTCTTGACTCTAATGCTGTTGAGGAAGAAGGAACAGGCAGGGCACGAAGGAAACATCCTACAGCTTTTTCATTGAACCTTGGAAATGTCTCAGCGACCAACTTGAATCCGATCGTTGATCTGATCGCGACGCGACGCCACCGCTTGATCGGAACGCGTGTCTGAAATGGGCACTGGAGAAGACGCACGGCCGGTGAATGGAGTTTTCGGACCATACTTAAGTACACGCATCAGCGTCACGGCTGGTGGGCAGAAAACAAAGTGCTCCGCGTGGAAAAGATGGGATGGGCAGCTCTACACGAGAACGTACACGCGTCTCATCCAAGCATCGACGCGAGGCGGATCACAGGTCAGTGAACGCAGGAAAGAGCTGCAATTCCGTTGAAAAGCAAAATGGAACGACCCTTCAGAAGTGGAATTGAAGGAACAGTGTGCCCTGCAGTTATGCATTAATGGGGTAGTGGTAACCTGGGTCGTTGCCATTTGGATTGAGTGTATGCCACATTGTCGACCCGCCGGGGGTTCGATTCCCCCTTAATGCATAGGGCAGGACGCATAATGTTTTTTGCTCCGCGTACGCCACTGCTACAGCGACAGTCTTTGTTTTTCCACAACTAAGAACTTTTGGCATACGAGAGCTACAGAAATAGTCAGAAATCATAGATGCCAGCCAGGCTTTGCCCTTGAGCCAGTGATTTCAGTCAGATCCACCGTCCAGAGATTTGGGCCATGTGTGGCCATCCCTTCGCCTAGCAGGGTTTTACCACAGAGAACGCAGCAAAGTCTGCGAACGATACATTTATGAGAGATACTACGACAAAAAACGTAACGGGTATGTACAATGTGTGTTAGAACAACAAAAACGACAAGATTGAAACAAGAAATCATAACAGATCAACATTAAGATTCACCGTCACACCCCGAAAAGAGGTGTCATCGCCTCCCGAACCAGCCCCCGCCACCACTTCCACTCGTACTGGCGCTATTCCTGGGAAGATTGAACCACTTCCCAAACGCCGCGTCCTCGCCTTTCCCTTCATCGTCGTGCTCCTCCACCTCCTCATTGTGCTCTAGCCAGTACTTGCTCTTGTGCACACTGGGAGCCTCGTCTTCGTCCTCATCCCCATACATACTAACATCCCTCTCCAAAAAGCCCTCCAGATCATCCACCTCACTTTGCAGGTCAAACTGCAGCCCCTCCGCCTGTTCATCAGCCAGTCCTGCTGCACCGAGGAGAATCTCATCGTCCTCTTCGTCATCGTCGTCTCCAGCGATGGACGAGAGCGACTTTGTGGGCGATTCGAGGTCGATGTCGAGGTACAGCTTGGAGGCGGAGGAAGAGTCGAGGTGAAGGGCGAGGTTGGCAGAGGAGAGAGGCTTTGGTGCGGAAATTGGGTCTTTCGCCGTGGAATACGGTTTACTCGCTACACCCAGGTCTGCCGTCTTGACTGGAGGCGCGTCTTCCTCAGATGGCTCATCACTAATCTCCACAGGCCTCGCGCGCGAACGGGTCTGAGGCGGTGTGGACGTAACGAGATGCGAGGGGAACGAGGGCGGGAAGAACGCGTCTTCGGGCACAGATGATATCGAGGGGCGAGGCTCTTTGCGTAGTGGGGGAGATTCCATCTCCTCGTCCCCAGGAGGAGCAGGAGACGAACTGGGTGGAGGCCTAGCAGGCGAAGAACTCGGGACGAGGACTCTAGGCTTCGCCTGAACAGGGACTTTCTTCGCCACGACGAACCCCAGCGGGGACGGATCCTTGGGGTCGTATCCGAGCTCTCCACTCACAACCGCCACCACCGCCTCCTCCTTCCGCTTCTTCCTGGCAGGACTCGCGCCGGCGCTATTCCTCTTCCGCTTCCCTTTCAGTGAACTCGCAGGCTCTTCAACACTGTTCTCCACGCTCTTGACCCATCCCCGTACCTTTTCCACCACCGCAGTCTTTTGCCGGAGGTCATCCCACTCTTCCTCTGTCTCCGGAAACGCGTCGGCATATGGCTCGGGGAGTGGGATGGGCTCAGCGGTGGTGAGAGATGTCCCGATGTATCTGCAAGATGGCGGTGAGATGGCGTGTGTGATATAAGAAGGGGGAACACACCTCTTCCCGCCGAGGGTGCTCTGCAACTTCAAGACGCGTCCCAGCTCGCTCCACGGGTCCGCCTCTTGCATCGCACCGCGCACACGCGTGCGTAATTGGGATGCTCTGTCTCCGCTGCTCAAGCCGTCCGCTCTTCCTTTCCCTTTGGCTTGACTCGACGTCTCCGAGTCGCCATCCGCCAATGCACACTCCCGCAGCACGTCGCGACGCTCGTAGAGTACGCGCATGTATGATGCGGGCGACAATTTCTTGTCTGGCGTGGTAGCCAATAGATTTGAGGTGTGAGCAGCGGCAGAGGGCGTATCACAGGCGAATGACACGCGTGGTTTAGATGGATTGGCAGGCTGAGCCTTCTTGGGTCTCCCGCGCGTTTTGCTGCCCTTGGCCGCCATGTTCAAGTTTTCGACCGTGCTAAATCAAGATTCGCAGACGGCTTTTCTTCCAGATGGATGCTCAAAGTGGGGATAGAATGATGAGAAAATCCAAGAAAAACGCAGTAGTGATAGTGGTTGTAATAGACAAAGAACAAAGAACAAAGGGGCACAGAGACCAAACACGATCGAAGCCTCAACCAAACACGTGCATACCAACGAGTCACGACCAGTGCGGCAGATCAAACTGCAACGATATTGGACGTTTCCTTTCATATATAGAGAGACGCGATACCTCTGGAGCAGAGGGTCCTCGCCTGCCACTGATCAGTCCTAGTCGGTTGCTGTATGTATATGAGGTGTAAACGCACAGGTTCTACTAGGGTTGCGCAGGATACCCCCAATATCGCGCCGTTGGATATTTAACCGGTTATTAACAGTTAATAACCGGGTTAATAACACCGGGGGTTAATAACCCTTAGGCACGTGATCAGCGGGCACGTGTTGGCGGGAAGCGGCGGGACCAGGCAGGAACAGGTGAAAGGGTAGCTAAGACCCACAATAAATGCTATTTATAAGCTAGAAACATGGCAGAACCCTAAATTGACCCTTTCTGCACCATCAGAGTCAAAAAACTGAGCAGGAACGAGAAAATGCGCCACACAGCATCACGTGGAGGTTAGTAACCGTTAATAACGGTTAACAACACCCCAAAAATTGGGGTATATCCCGCCCATGTTATTAACCGGGCGGGGGAATATACTGCGCAACCCTAGGTTCTACAACCTCACATTGGCCTCAGATCAAGCGCAAAACAAAATTGCTTCAGTACAATGACGACTGCCCCAGTGAGGCTCGAACTCACGACCTTCCGATTGATCTGCCTAACAGTCGGACGCTGTAACCAACTCAGCCATGGGGCATATATCTGTGATTCAGGGGTTCTGACCAATGCCACCAGCTTTCGGAAAAGACGTACACATAGCCTGAGCCTCTGACTAGAATCTTGTTATCCTCCATCTTGCCTTCATCGACTGCTTTGTACGGAACGGAATCATGGCGTGTTACAATGGAGAGAAACAAGTCATTACTCCCAATAATGAGGAAATTAAGCGAGTTGGAAGTTGATTGCCTAAATAGGATGATGATCCAGCGCCCATTTTCAGCCTATTTCTTTCTTTACGACCACCACCAATGTCTAATATCTATCGCGACGTCGCTCCCGCCATGCTCAACCACCATCGCCGTTATGGGCAGTGTCAAGCGGTTGACAGCCAGTCGACTATCGTCATTCTTGCCAATCATTGGGTGGGACAGGCCCTAAACTTGGCTTTCCGTCGCGCTATCCCTGCTGTCCGCTTAGCTGCCCCTGCCGTGATGCTTCGACGCCATTAGTCGCAGAAGGATGTGCTGGCTCTGGCGCGCGCTACCGAATACCAATATGCGGCCCATGGAGCACAATCGATTCCGCGCTTCGAGGTGTGTCTACGGCTAAGGACGTACAGGTCGTCGCGCTATGCCCCGCACACGGACTGGTTCGCATCCACCATCGCAAACCTGACTCCGCGGCCCGCCCACAACGATTCGCATAGATTTTTCGCGCGCTACAGGATGGGAATGGACTGCCGCCAATATCGTGCGACCAATTCCATATCATAATCTGGTCGGCCTCGACTGCGTTCACGGCCGCCAGCTTGACGCGGTTCATCCGGTCTACAAAACCGTCGGGCTCCTCGATATCGAAAGACCAGTGCTCCCCTCGTGCCCCAGTGCTTTGGTCGTCTCCTTTGGACGAAGGAGATTGGACGCACTACACGATATCATCGCGGAGAAACAAAGTAGTGGAGCAGAGGTGCCGATGTTCTTGGAAATGCACGCGACTCGGATTTTTCGTGTTGCTGATGGTAGGAGCTCTTTTCGTCGTGATGTATTGTTTCTAAATGACGTCTTTAGTTCAGCGTGCCGGACGCGACGATTAAGACTTTCCAAGTCTCAAAATGTCGCAATGACGTTTTGCGCACATGACCCTTTCCAAAAGTTTTGTTTATAAGGAGCGCCCTGGACTGTTCCCTCCTTCATCCACGTACATCATGGCATTCAACACCATCCAAAACATCTTAGCCAAGCTTTCCCACTCTCGCCGCTCCTCTGCTTGTACCGGCCCATTCGGGCTTGTACCGCAGGAGCTTCTTGACCTTGTCATTTTCTTTCTTGCCGACGACAAGGCCACCCTCTTATCCTTTGCACTTGTCCACCCCACCTGGACCAGCATTAGCCGGTACCATCTCCCGTCTCTCGCTCTTGTCGTCTCATCCCTATCCCGTGCCAAGGAGCTCACAAAGCTCTTACGCTCATCGCGTGAGACGCTTTCCTCGTCTATAACCGGCATTACGCTCGTCGGCGACATACCCTTTGACGACATCCTCGCGAACGGCAAATCTCCCCATGCGCGGTCCTACAACAAGTTGCTCCACGTCCTGAAAGCCAAGCATGTCATGCTTTGCTCGGGGGTGGTCGAGAATGAGCCACCGCTCGTTGGACTCTTCGCCCAGTACTTCCCGGATCTTGCCAGTCTTAAAGTGATCTGCGCATCGTACCAGGACATTACGAGCTTCATGCGCGCGCTTTCCGGCTCTTTCCCGCGCCTCGCTGAACTCAGTATTGAGCTTGCATCGGGTGGAATGGATATACCGGTTGCATCGCTGTCTGGGTTGCACGACCTCAAACTGGCGACGCCGTGCTTACGCGCCCTGCGTGTGGTCGGGTGGAATAATGATCTCGTGCGCTGGTTGGGGGATAACATCCTGGGGACGCTGGAATGTCTGGATTTGGAGAGTGCCAGCGTTTGGTCGACATGTCGTGTCGAGGAGGCGATTCCGCTTCTTCAAAGGAATAAGGAAACATTGCAGGATGTGAGGCTATGCTTTGTGAAACACAATGGTCTGTACTTTCGTTCTTCTCTTTGCGTGACGATGTGCTTATGTGTTATCTAGTGGCATTTGATTTATCGACTTTATTGCGTTTGGAAACTTTGGGGTTTTCGACTGCGGCGGGTGATATGGAGATGGTGCTGAATGGGTGGCGGCTGCCGAGGTCCTTGAAGACGGTATACTTACGGGATGCGATTTCTGTGTTGACTCGGCAGAGTGGTATGAGTGTTGCTTGAATACCGGGCGACACTCCATTGAGGCTCAGAATGTATTAAGTTCTTCAGCATTTTGTCACTGTCCGATATATTTCCAATGTCATTGATATCTGAATCCAGTCCCGATGGTATGCGCTCCTTTTCGCCTGTGCTGTGCTGTTCTGAATGCCTTGGTTTAGAGGCTGAACGTCTCGGGGACACGGATCGTGAAACCACGGACTACTGAGAGTCAATGTCGCTAGCCTCCTCCGCGACGCTTGATGGAGTACGGCGTCACTACCGGACCATGTCTGACGCCGATAGTGGGATAGATTAAATGCTGTATGTGTTACGGCCGACGACGCATTCCATGGACGAGGGCGAGTCCACTGTACAATGCGACCGCGCGCCGGTGATAGAGTTGTCATACACCATGTTCAAAGGGCGACGAGGTCAATTACGACAGGGAAACAAAATGGAAGAGCAAAGCAAGGTGACCGTGCCACACGCATAGATCTCGGATCTTGCGTGCTGCTGATGGTATTCCCTCTTCTTCGTCTGTGATGTGAACGACTTCTCCGGTTCAGGTTTTGGTGAAGCGGGCGTCTCGATCGTTGAATCAGTCTCGGACCGTGTCTCTCGATGTCGTTCTAGAGGCTGTGAGCACGTAACCCAGTTTTGTTTATAAGAACGACCTCGACTTCAACCTCTTTCACCATGGCATTCAACACCGTTCGCACCATCATCAGCAAACTCACCCACACTCGCCGCTCCTCTGCTTGTACCGGCTCATTCGGACTTGTACCGCAAGAGCTTCTCGACCTCGTCATTTCCTAGCTCGTCGACGACAAAGCTGTTCTTTTAACATGTGCACTTGTTCACCCCACTTGGACTAGCATCAGCCGATATCATCTCCCGGCTCTCGCTCTTGTCGTCTCATCCCCATCCCGTCACGAAGCTCCTACGCTCACGCTTTCCTCATCCATGCACCGGTATAGCCCTCCTCTGCTACGTGCCATTCGACGATATCCCCACTCGGAGCGGAAAGTCGGCCTACCGCAAATTGCTGCATGCCCTCAAAGTCAAGGGAACCACGGGCGCGATGAAGAACGACCCGGCACTCGTCAGACTGTTCGCCCAGTATTTCTCGGATCTCACTGTGGTAAGGAAATATTGAGCTGTGGCGGCACGCCGGGAGATGCCGAAGTATTTAAGTCTCTCTCATGCCCTCAGTCGTTTGTTGCCTACTACAACGTCTGAGGGTGAGTTTTTCTATATTCTTTCTTATATATCTCTTACTGATTACCTGTAGTTTACTTCGTGTACTTACTGCACACTCTGCCATTTCCCTACAGGTACTGTACAATTTCATTCAATTCGTCACACCTTGTGACATGTGACCGGTGCGACGAAATTTTGAATTCGTCGCGGCGCCGAAGGTGCCGTGACCCGGGAAAAAAATTCGTCATTTTCGTCGATTTTGGGCTGATTTTGGTACCTTTTTGGGTCAGTTTCAGCTGGTAAATTCGTCGGATGGCTGTGGGACGCGTGACCCGTGTGACATTTCGTCGGATTTGGGTCCTCTGTGACCCGTGACCAATGAATTGATTGAAATTGTCACAGGTGGCATTATCCGTGGCAGTAACATTTTACCTGCCACCGTGGCAGTAGGCATGTAGGTAGCTGGCACTACATGATCGTAGCATGGCGCCGGTGGCCGTAGCTCTACCGGCCGACTGCTAGATAAGCTCTTTAATGAAATTGACATGATGATGCCGCGATGAATGTCTCAAACATGTGTTAATCACGCTTCCTTTCATAATGTGTTCTCTTTCATATTATGTTTCAACATTATGCCTTGCTTTCATATCCTTTCTTCATTGTCATTGAAAAGTGCCAGAGATGTTGGCCTGAGCGGAATATGATTGCAAAGGGAGAGAAAAGTCTGTCTTACTAAGCCGGGGTTATCCAAGAACGAGCCAAGGTGAATAGTAATCACATCAATTTACAGTCGCAAACTCAATATGTGTTAGCTCTCTGCCGAATTGCAGGTTCTGCAGAGCGATCCCGAAGCAGACGAGAGCATTGTTCAAGCCAAGAAGGGCAGAGCAGAAGATTTGCGCCGCGCTCAGCACAATATGGAGCGCAGGACATTTCGCCCTATGGCAGCTTGGAATGGCAGATAACCCCCGCTTAGTAAGGATTTGAAGTCCTGCTTAGTAAGCACATTCTTATCTCCAGATCTCACGACCGCAATCTGCAACTATGATGGTGCAAAGAACATCATTGAGTGCTGCAGATGCACGTTCCTTAGACAGATCGGCAATCTGAATGCGGATCAACTTTCAAGCAAGTCGCTAGGATATTGGCGCAAGGCCACAAGCAAATGGCGACTGGCTTCAAGATGCTGGCTATACCCTTACGCTATTGTATCCAACTTGGGGATGGGGATCTTTGAGGAGTTGGACGGCATCACTAGTAAATTGCACGGATGTCCCATGGGAGATTGAGTTTGAACATGCACCCTTACCCGCGGTTGGTCCACACTCACCCTACAGGACCAGGCAGGTACCCGGGGTAGCCTGCAGTATTCACCCTTGAGCTGATGAGTGTGCGAGCCACCCTCAGCCTGTGCACCCAACGACACTCCATGAATGCTGTGTCCGAAGTTGACAGCCCACTGGAGTACCAACTAACCTCACAAGTACCTATGTCAACTCAGTATAGAGATCACCACGAGTCCTGACTCGAGTTGATTCGTGACTCATCAGGCGAGTACTCATGGGGGTCAAAGGCTGT